TATCTATCTATCTATCTATCTATCTATCTATCTATCTATCTATCTATATCTATCTCACTTCCCATAACTATGTCTCCCCTTCTCTCCCCCCCACCCCGCTTACTTATTACAGCCGAAAGTTGTAAAGCAAAGGAAGGAAATCTTGAAGGCTGACATTATGACTGAGGAGTAAATCCCTTGGTGCAGCTGTGAGCCGCAATTTCCCATCCCCCCTGCCTATGGCAACTCAGGAGCAGGGCAAGGAAGCTTCATGAGTTGACAATTATATACATTAAATAGAAAAAAAATCACAAAAACCGCATTGTAAAAATACATATTTAGTTTAACTAAATATTTCCTTTGTCTTATTAGTATTATGGTTAGTCACATGATCAATCAGACATTTAGACTAGAGTTTGTATTTTTATCCATCTATTGATTCATTATTATCATTTCACTTTAAAACATAGCAGGTTTTAAGCATAAGAAAAGGTGATGGGCAGTATAAAAATCAATATAGATGAATGTTGGATTTCAATTCTTCTGCTATCTTTATTTCTAATAGTGTTATCTTTCTATCTTTCTACAACAATAATAATTCAATAAACCTAATCCAGTATTAGATAAAAATGTGTTTTCATGTTTTATATATTTAGGATCATGCAGATATCGAATGGAAATTTGCTCGTACAAAGCTATGGATGAGTTACTTTGAAGAAGGAGGAACTTTGCCTGCGCCTTTCAATGTCATACCAAGTCCAAAATCTCAATGGTATTTATTAAGATGGCTGTGGAGACGACTATGTAGGCAAAACATTAAAACAAAACCTAAAAGCTTTGGAACCATTGGGGTAAGCAAAATTGGCCATTTCCTTCCTTATCCTTAATGAGAACAGTTAGTGGTAACATCTTACCTACAGAGGCTAGAAGAATGTATATTTCTGCTTTTTGATAATGCTAAAAAGTCTCTTAAATAATGGGAAATTAAAATGAGATTTTTGCAAAGCATGTAAGCAACTGCCCTGCGTCCACACATAGAAGTACTATTCAAAATATAACTTTTCATTTTTATTCAAGATAATGAAAATAGTTAAAGTATAACTCAGGAATTATTCCAGACTATTTTCTGATAGTTGGATCATTTGATCCATTTGACTTGTACATGTAATCAGGATATGACTCACTGACATTGCCTTTACCTTGCTTGGATTGGTTGGATAATGTGACAATTGAAATATAGATGGAAGGCAGAACGTTTTTTTAACTTCAACATTGAGAAATTCTTAGACAGTTAAAATTCTTGATATTGCCTTTCCCCCATTTTAAATTCCATGGCCTTGAAGCTCAAAAAATATTAAATAAAGAGAAAACTCAGTAAAGTCTTCACCCTCATGTTATGTAGTAGTAGTGCAAATTCAGTACACCTTATAAAGAAAAACTGTGGCTCTTTGTAAATGCATCATTTAAATAGATCTTGTTTGGAATTTCAGTTAACTTTTTCCTCAGCTAAGCAATGAAAGTCATATCCCTTTCCCCATCCATTCAGTTGTTTTTTTCTTCTTCTGTTCAATCATGTCTGATTCCTGGAGATGTTCCTGCAATTTCCTTGGCAGGGTTATCATCGCCTCCTTCTTGGGCTGAGAAAAAGTGACTGGCTCAAGTCATGCAGCTGGCTTTGTACCTAAGGCAGGACTAGAATGGATGGTCTCCCCGTTTATAGCCTGATGCCTTAACCACAACATCAAACTGGCTTCCACAATTCAAAACTATATTACTTCAATTATTCCAATAATTTTCCAACAAAAGAACAACTGGCCCATTCAACATACCTCATCCATGCTTTGACCATGAGATACTTAAGGCTAGAGATTCCGAGAATCAGAATAATATAAAAGCAGCACAGTAGTCCTATCAGTAATAACACAACACATCATTGGAAGAAGTTCATTAGAAGAATTAAATAAGCAAGCACTAAGAACTACTTACTATGGATGGAATCTCTTTTTAAATCTTGAAGACTTAATTGATTATTAATTTTATTATGGTCATAGTCCAGAATTAAAAATTAAAACATTAAGATGAAATGAAACAGAACAAGACATATTAATATATTCCAGTTACTGATGAGATCATCAATGGGCAGCCAAAGTTTGCCTAATTTTACAGACAGTATAGCAGAATGTAGCTATGATCAAGTAGACTGTTTCATACTGATCTGATAATAACAGCTTTACATAAAAGACATGAGAATTTCCCAGGTATTTTATCAGGCAGTGGTCTAGGGCAGTGGTGGGCCATGAGAAAATTTTGGTGGGCAGCAGAGAAATCTCACCCCCAGAGCACCCCCCCCCCAAGCAATTAATCCAGGCTGCACAGAAACACAAGTCTGCGCTGCCCACATGGTCTGTGCGAACCCTCCCCACCCACTCACTCCTTATCCGGCAAACTTGCCTGCTAAGTTGCTATTTTTCCTTTGTTCTGCTGTTCCAGATTTAGATTAGATAGGAAGCAGGAAATGGTTGGACTTCTTGCTTTCTAGCTAGTCTTTAGATCTTCGGCTCTGCTTTTAAGCACAGCCGAACCTCCCTTAGGACTGAAGGTTTGCTTGCAAGCAAATTCAGTGCAGACTCATGGCAAGCAAGTTTAAGAGACCGATGGCAGATAGATAGATCACTGAATGATTCTGTGAGCAACTCAATCTGCCTGCTTTGCCTGATTTTGGGTAAAAATTGCTCTTTTTTATAAAAAAATCAATATTTACATACATGGTGAGTTAATTTTGTGAGTTTGCTTGCAAGCAAATTTTATGTGACAGACTGAGCTAGTCGATGGCAGATAAATAGATCACTGAATGATTCTGTGATTCTATGAGCAACTCAATCTGCCTGCCTGCTTTGCCTGATTTTGGGTAAAAGTTGCTCTTTTTTATAGAAAATTCCAATATTTATATAAACATTTATAATATTTACATAAATATTTATAATATTTACATACAAGCCATGCCCAGCCAGTCACATGACCACCAAGCCACACCCACAAATTAGGCCACACCCACAGAACCAGTTAGTGGTCCCTGGGATTTAAAATTATGAGTTTGGTGGTCCCTGAGGTCCAAAAGGTTGGCAACCCCTGGACTAGGGTACAATATAATAGGGTATGAGCAGTGATTTTAGTGGCCCCTTTCCACAGAGGCACAATATCAAATCATATGGGACTTTTTTGTATCAGATCTCCAGAACTGCTACCAGAATGGTGTTACAGTGTGCTAGAGTTAGTTCCCTCCAAAATTTAGAAATAGTTATATAAACGTCTTGCTGGTTTATGGAGATAGGCCTGACTGCTCAAGAAAACATTATTGGGTAGAACAGACAGGTCTGGTTAAATTTTATGCTCTTTAATAAATGCACTGAGTCCACACTCATAGCCCCAGTAGGAACTCCTCCATCGAGAAATCTAGATATTGGAGTTTAGTCCAAAAATAGTACTAACCCATTCTGATTAACCTCCATTAGGAAAGAGTTCAAACCAGCAGGAAAGAACTACAGTATTTTAGCCAGTGTTGCTATTATGCAAGTCTGTGCACCTGTTTCAACCTTAGCCCTTCCTCCTTCCTTAGTACTGCCTTTGGAATACTGGGAAACTGAATTAAAAGTAGGGCAGAGATGGAACTCCCACTTCTTTTTTCCCCCTCTAACCTGTTAACATCACTACACTTGTGTAAAACTAGGCATTACACTTGTGTAAAGGAGGCATTATCTCAAAGTCAGAGACCCAACTATCCAGTATCAACAGCTTATTGTAATTATAGTTTGAACTAGTTTATGAAGAGAAGGGTGACATGATAGTTGTCTTACAATATTGAGGGGCTGTCACAGAGAAGAGAGGGTCGGTCAACTTATAGCACCTGTGGGTAGAACAAGAAGCAGTGGGTGGAAGCTCATTAAAGAGAGGTCATACCTGAAACTAAGAAGAAATGTCTTGACATGAGAACAATTAATGAATGAAGCAGTTTGCCTCCCAGAGTTGTGTGTGCTCCATCACTGGAGTTTTGTTTTTTTTAAGTTTGGACAGTCATTTGTCTGGGATGGTATAAGGTATTTTGGGCAGTAGAGTTCCCTTCCAACCCTGTTCTGTTCTGTTCTGTTCTACTCTACTCTACTCTACTCTAATGCAGCCAAGATCTACAATGAGCAACTTAAAGTCCTGTTGATTTTCTTTAACACTCCACCAACACGGTCACGACCCAATATAAAGGGACAAATCACTTAGAACAGCACAGAGCACTCAAAAGCGTGTTACTTAAAATTATTTATTCCAAACCTGGATATTTTAAATAGAGATACCCAAAACAGCATTTTCAATATCAAATTTATTTAATCTCAATCTGTTCTGCAATCTGAAGTGTTTTTGTGCCTAAATAGGTGCTGGGTGTTTTTAGATTTGCATACATGAAGAGAAAATAATGCAATTATTTTTAAACATTTAACCTGAACCACCTATTCCATTCTATGTTATCATTGAATGTTTCCTCAAACTACAATAAAAGCAGATTGCTTGATTTGCATATATTAGAGACACATATTAGATGAAGACATATTTCAGTTATATGGTTGTTTTCCTCATTGTCATTAGTACTTTTTAACAAATTGATGGACAACAATGAGCAAAATCGTTGGGTTCTGTCAAAGAAAAATACAACACAATATAAGATTTGCCCATCTCCAACATTAGATAGCATCTACCTTTCACAAATTCTATTACCTTGTTTTCATTTAAAATGAAAGAGATTGACAGAACAATCACAATTGTAGTGCTGTACATTTATCATAAACCATATAAATTTTCCAAGGAAATACCTTAATAATGGTACTCCCTGTACTTCTTCTTCTTCAATTATTCACATCCTCATTGAAAGTCTTTTTCTAATTTTTTATTTCATTCAAAAAGTTAAAACACAAATCCCCCCCAAATGTTAACAACCAGCAACAACAGCAAAAACAAAAATGGACAGAACAATTTTAAAAATTGTGCATTAAAAAGGATAAAAAACAAAAATACATATACATATATTATCAGAACAGATATATGTTATCAAGACAGACTAAGTCAGATACACACTTCAATGGATAATTAGAACTGCAGAAAAAACCTCAAATTTATCCACTCTTTCACCCAAGTAAAGAAACTAAAGAACTTATAATTGACTTCAGGAGGAAGAGAGGTGTACATTTACTATTGCACATAAATGGCGAGGAGGTGGAGAGGGTTGTTAATTTTAAATTTCTGGGCACTTATATCTTGGAGAACCTCTCATGGACTATGCTTGTGAAGAAGGTACAGAATTTGTACTTCCTGAGAATGCTTAGGAAGATAAATCTATCTCAGCATCTACTTCTGTACTACTACTGCAGCACCATTGAGAGTGTTCTGACATACGGCATTCTTGTATGGTATGGGAGCAGCTCTGTAGCAGACAAAAAAGCTCTACAGGGAATCATTAAAACTCCCCAGAATATCATCGGGCTCCAGTTACCAGGCCTGGATGACATCTTTGCTTCTCCCTGTTTGAGGAAATTGTACAACATTCTCAAGAGACTCTTCCCATCCTGCTTACAATCTTTGTGAACTGTTGCCTTCTGGCAGAAGATACAGATTAAAAGTCAGACCACACATTTTCTGAACAGCTTTTATCCCAGAGCTATAATTGCACTTAACAATGAATTTAAGGACCACCATCAGTGAGCTGTTGGACAATATTACTTGGTCTGTTGTGTGGATGCTTGCGTGTTTTTAGAAGGCGGGGAATTTTGGCGGTTGGGAGGGGTGTTTGGGGATTGTTATGTGTGTGTGCGTGTTGGGTCTGGTCTCTGGGTGTTACGTGAGTTTCGTTGCATGTATACTGTGTATATATGTACAATGACAATAAAGAATTCAAATTCAAGTAAGTGCAGAAACCTGGTAGTAAAGCTTCCAATCTGGCAACCCCAAACCCCCATTTTCTTTAGATTGTTGTAGCATTCTTAGTCTCATTCTTGTTCTTTTCCCTAGCCATATATAATTCAAGATCATTTTATTTAGCTCCTCAAAGTATTTTTTCTAGTTATATAGGAATTGTTTGAAACAGAAAGAATAATCTCAGCAAAATATTCATTCTTATAGTAGCTATTCTTTCTATTGATAGTTGCAAGTTCTTCCATTTCTCCAAATACAGCTTTATTTGTTGCTTTTGTTTTGTATAGTTATCTTCTTTAATTGTTACACGTCTTGCTGTTAAATAGATTCCTAAATATTTAACTTTTTTGGCTACCTGAAGATCTACTTCATTAATCCCTTTTTTGTTTATCTGTAAGATTTTTAACTAATATTTTAGTTTTTTCTTTCTTTATTTTCAATCCTGCATCTTTTCCACATTTCTTCTATTTTTCCTATTAGCTTAGGGCCAGTTTCTAGTGGTTCTTCTAAAATAAATAAATACCAGATTGTCTGCAAATGCTTGTAGTTTGTACTTTTCTTTTCTTTTTATTTTCATACTTTTATTTCTAAGTCTTGTCTAATACTTCTGTTTAACACTTCCAATGTTAGTATAAACCAGGGGTGTCAAACTCAAGGCCCGCAGGCTGGATGTGGCCTGCAGGGTGCTTAGATCCAGCCTGCAGAGCTGCCCTGGAAAAAGCTAAGGACTGGCCTGTGGTGCCTCGCCCTGGATGCTGATCCAGGCCAGAATGTGATCAGCCTTAGATCTGCAGAACTGCCCTATACAGCCAGCTAGGAGCCAGGACCTCCCTGCCCCCTGGGCATGCACAGAGGAGGGGGTGAGTGTGCGTGGGGCCTGCCGTTCCTGGGGTCCATTTTACCCTGAAGATTGGAGCACTTCCCTTTCTCCCAGGATGTGCAGGGGGTGGGGCCAAGGTGGCAGGGCAATCTCGCACTGGCTCCAGGGGGCCACATGGGTCGGATCTAAGGCTGGTCATGTGCTGGCCCAGATGACTGCTCTTCCTCCTCTCCTTCTCCGAATTCTTTCCAAGTTCTGGCATATTTTTAATTCCCAGATCTTTGAATAGTGGGGCTAGAGATTCATGGCTGGCAATGAGCATGGGCTGGTTGCTTCTGGAATTTGGCAAAGAGAAGGGGGGAGGAGTGCCTGAATATGGTTTTATTTTATTTTTTTGGAGGGTCGGGGAAGAAAGCCATGCTTTCAAGGTGTGTGTGTGTGTGTGTGTGTGTGTGTGCACGCATAGACTGGAAATATGCAAAGAGAAGGGTAGCTCATTTGCAGTTCATAGGGAGGAGGAGCGAGCAACTGAACAGGGAATTCTGATTTTGTTTCTGATTCTTCTCTTTATTTTAATTTGCCACAGCTTCTTCTGGACCTCTGACAACTTTTGATGTCCTTCATCCCAAGTTCATTCGTTTGGGGGGGAGCTGGGGGAGAAAATTAAAATCGGGGAAGAGAAAGGAAATTTCCATGGAAGGGAGTGTCTGTATACCAATACATTTTGGGGGGGGGATATGAATATGCAGCTGGGGGAGAGGAATTGGCAGCTAATGAAATGCAAATCGGTATTTTAAAAGAAAGTGAGCAAGAGAGCAAGTTGTAAGATTTCAGAGTTTTCAACTGTGAATTGATGATTTCTCCCCCTTACTTCTTCCTCATCTCCTCCCCCACAAAAAGATTTTCTGTCCAAAGAACTGAGGAGTTTGCTCAGCTCCTGGAGAAGCTGCAACTCGCTTTTTGTTGAAGTTTCTGGCTCTGAGTTCAAGTCGTCTCCAGACTGTGGCCAGAGTGGCTATGGGAGGGTGTGAACTGCATGCTGAATTTTATTTTATTTTATTATTTTATTTTATTTTTTTAAATACTCCAGCTGTTGTTCGGCTTGCCCTTTTAAGTTCTATGGACATTGTGTTTGGCTGTCTGTCTCGCTAAAGCTTGGAGGAAATATAGGCGCAAGATTTCGGAGCAGGAAAATATGGTTATAAGTTGCTCAGAAATAGAATGACAGGGAAAGGCACCTGAGTCCAAAGCAGCGGCATTTCGACCCTTAAATGTGGTGGGCGTTTTGGTTGTTTTTACTGGGATTCCTTCCCATGCAGAGCAGTTTTGTGATAGGAAAATTAGAGATTTTGCCCCAGTAGCAGTTCCTGCCCCTCCTGCCCCCCAAACTTCTTTTTTTTTAAGTTTTTTTATTTTTCTAAACAAACACAGACAAAACAATACATAAAAACATAAAACCATCTTTCAATTACATACAGTGTGTCGACTGGTTGCAATTCTTTTGTGCTACGTGTCCATAGTCCTCCTTCACAAGTCACATAAGTTCTCATATTTTGAGAGTATTTTTTATTAGATGAAGTGGCAATGGAAGTTACAGAGTAGAGTAGAGTACGTGGAACTCAAGGACACAATACACAAATAGGTCAAGAAAGATTATTTTTCCATTCAGAAAAAGAGGAAAATATCTGGAACTTAGTGAGAAGGAAAAGGTTAATTGGATGGGCACATAGGACAGACAGTAATCCTTGCGTTGCCCTGGGAGGAAGAAATGGGCTTAAATCAAAGCATCACTAAACAAGGGATCACACATATTTTTGACCTTCTCAAGAATATCAGTGGTGGAAAAGCTCAATAGGTGTGCCTATCATGGAAGATGCAGACTTCAAATCGCAAGTGATTATGCAGGAAAGAATCCACTCCAGAGAAAACAGCATACAAATTATCTGAATGTGGCAATAGTTTTGGTCAGAACAGATCCCTTTGGGTTCATGGAAGAACTCACCCAGAAGAGATGCCCTACAAATGCTTCCAATGTGGTAAATCCTTTAAGAAAAATGACAACTTAGTGATACATCTGAGGACTCACACAGGAAATAAACTCTTTGATTGTCCTGATTGTGGAAAAAGTTTCAGTAAGAATTCTAACCTGTTGAAACACCAAAGGACTCACACAGGAGAGAAACCGTTTAAATGTCCTATTTGTGGGAAAATTTTCAGTCAAAATTCCAGCCTGGTAAGTCATCAAAGGGCTCACACTGGAGAGAAACCCTTTGAATGTCCTGTTTGTGGGAAAGGTTTCAGTAAGAATTCCAGCCTCGTAAGACATCAGAGGACTCACACAGTTGAGAAACCCTTTGAATGTCCTGATTGTGAGAAAGGCTTCAGTAAGAATTCTGACTTGGTGAACCATCAGAGGACTCACACAGGAGAGAAACCCTTTAAATGTCCTGTTTGTTGGAAAAGTTTTGGTCAGAATTCTCGCCTGGTGAGCCATCAGAGGACTCACACAGGAGAGAAACCCTTTGAATGTCCGATTTGTGGGGAAAGTTTCAGTCAGAATTCCAACCTGGTGAAACATCAAAGGACTCACACAGGAGATAAACCCTTTAAATGTCCTGTTTGCGGGAAACGTTTCAGTCAGAATTACAACCTGGTGAGCCATCAGAGGACTCACACAGGAGAGAAACCCTTTGAATGTCCTGATTGTGGGAAAAGTTTCAGTGAGAATTCCAGCCTGGTGAAACACCAGAGGACTCACACAGGAGAGAAACCCTTTGAATGTCCTGTTTGTGGGAAACGTTTCAGTCAGAATTCTGTCCTGGTGAACCATCAGAGAACTCACACA